TAGTGGGTTTCACCAAAGGTGCACATATATCTAATACCTCAGTAACCCTGATAGTGGGTTTCACCAAAGGTGCACATATAACTAATACCTTAGTAACCCTGATAGTGGGTTTCACCAAAGGTGCACATATAACTAATACCTTAGTAACCCTGATAGTGGGTTTCACTAAAGGTGCACATATAACTAATACCTCAGTAACCCTGATAGCGGGTTTCACCAAAGGTGCACATATAACTAATACCTTAGTAACCCTGATAGTGGGTTTTACCAAAGGTGCACATATAACTAATACCTTAGTAACCCTGATAGTGGGTTTCACTAAAGGTGCAAATATAACTAATACCTTAGTAACCCTGATAGTGGGTTTCACTAAAGGTGCACATATAACTAATACCTAAGTAACCCTGATAGTGGGTTTCACTAAAGGTGCAAATATAACTAATACCTTAGTAACCCTGATAGTGGGTTTCACTAAAGGTGCACATATAACTAATACCTTAGTAACCCTGATAGTGGGTTTCACTAAAGGTGCACATATAACTAATACATACCTTAGTAACCCTGATAGTGGGTTTCACTAAAGGTACACATATAACTAATACCTTAGTAACCCTGATAGTGGGTTTCACTAAAGGTGCACATATAACTAATACTTTAGTTACCCTGGTAGTGGGTTTCACCAAAGGTGCACATATATCTAATACCTCAGTAACCCTGATAGTGGGTTTCACCAAAGGTGCACATATAACTAATACCTTAGTAACCCTGATAGTGGGTTTCACTAAAGGTGCACATATAACTAATACCTTAGTAACCCTGATAGTGGGTTTCACTAAAGGTGCACATATAACTAATACCTCAGTAACCCTGATAGCGGGTTTCACCAAAGGTGCACATATAACTAATACCTTAGTAACCCTGATAGAGGGTTTTACCAAAGGTGCACATATAACTAATACCTTAGTAACCCTGATAGTGGGTTTCACTAAAGGTGCAAATATAACTAATACCTTAGTAACCCTGATAGTGGGTTTCACTAAAGGTGCACATATAACTAATACCTAAGTAACCCTGATAGTGGGTTTCACTAAAGGTGCAAATATAACTAATACCTTAGTAACCCTGATAGTGGGTTTCACTAAAGGTGCACATATAACTAATACCTTAGTAACCCTGATAGTGGGTTTCACTAAAGGTGCACATATAACTAATACATACCTTAGTAACCCTGATAGTGGGTTTCACTAAACGTACACATATAACTAATACCTTAGTAACCCTGATAGTGGGTTTCACTAAAGGTGCACATATAACTAATACTTTAGTAACCCTGATAGTGGGTTTCACTAAAGGTGCACATATAACTAGTACCTTAGTTACCCTGATAGTGGGTTTAAACTAAAGGTGCACATATGACTAATACCTTAGTAACCCTGATAGTGGGTTT